TCTATGTTGGTTAATAAAACTTCTTGTCCCGTTAGTGAAATGTTAATTTCTTGCAGCTCTAGGCTGCACCCCCATGTCCATCAGTCTAGACAGGCATATGGAGTCATGTCCTTTAGCGTGCTCCTCGGTACCGTAAGTACAGCGCATGGCATGGATAACATCACTTCTATTCAGTACTGGGCCAGCCATAGCAACTGCAGGGTCAGCAAGATAGTCTGCACTCTCGTTCCCTTGAACACCCGCATGACCTGGCACACAGATGCAGGTTAGGGCAGATATTCGTGAAGTGCTTAGGGTTTCAATCCATTCTTGCCTGATAATTCCAGCTTGGAATTTTTAAAGCATATTCATCAAGTCACTAAGAATGCATACGTGTGTGAACTTTTAAGCACCAAGCCATGCTAAAGCCTTTGTTACAGCTAAAGTTTCCATTGTAAGGCTACTAGTTGTAACAGCAAAGGCGCCATTTATTTCCTTGATGGTTTTCCCCCTTGAGCTTACTGTGAAGGCCCATGCACTTCGCTTGCCCCTAATTACTGTCCCATCTGTGTAAACTATAGCATCACCTTCATCTGTGTTTTCGTCAATCAGTGTTCTGACTAAAGTGTCAACAATGCCAGGAATCTGCTTTCTACAGCTTCCATCAAGTGTGATATGGACTGTAATAATAATGTTTGGAGAGGGAGGCATAATTATCCATTCATTTCCCAAATTTATGTCAGTAAGGCGGCAAACATGTTCGATGGCATCCTCAGCCCGACCCATCTAGGATTTGCCTCGTTTGAGTCTTATTTTGCTTGAATAATTCCTCATAAAGTGGGTGTCGATGGTCTGACTTCACTTTGAGGAAAGCAACAGCCCTGGAAAGCTTGATTGTGTTTTCCATTGTGGGGAAATCCAAGAGGTACCGCATGGATTTACAGGAGGTGTCTCTAGTGCATCCCAGAATAATACGCAGTGCCTCGTTTTCAATTTTCTCCAGTCTGTTCATCTATGTGGTGCTTACTGTCATGATGGCCAAGGCATATTCAATGGTGGAGAAAACTAACGCATGATACAACATTACAAGTAGCTATTGCTCAAAGTTGGCAGCTCCCATAACTTTTATTGCGGAGAGACCTTTCCTGGCTTTGGTGCTAATGTGGTCTACGTGATTTTAAATGCTAAGCATCTGTCAAATGGTATACCCAGGTATTTCATGGAATCAGATCTCTCTACGTCAGCGCCACAGAGTTTTACTATAGGCATTGGTGTTTTGAAAAGGTAATTATTTAGTGAGAAGCAGGTGACTGTCCCTATTGATGGATTAATTGTTGCCCCTGAGTTGTTGCACCAGGATAATAGGCTATCTAATTCCTGTTGTAGATCTGAAACAATGTCAACTCTGCTACTGCCCTGTCGGTACACGAGGATGTTATCCGCATATGACAGAGTTCTTCCTCTGCCGCTCTGTTGTTCTCCTGTGATCTTGACTGTGCAAATGTTAAAGTAGATAGGAGACAATGGAGAACCCTGTGGCAAACCAGGGTGTATTGTTATCGGCTCAGAAGACCAGTTACCCGTCGAAGCACGACCTTCCTCTGGAAAAGAGCGGCAGATATCCATCGAATGAGATGTGTGTAGTGTGTGTGGGGGGGGGGGGGGTTAAGTTCAGTTAACTGACACATTAGTTTGTGGAACGAAACTTTGTTTTATGCATCCTCCAGATCAACGGCGACTGCACATGTTTCAAATCTAGTTTGAAAACCTTCAAATGTGTCATGTGCAAAGACGGCAGCATTACGCCATGTCTCCGTATTTTGTCTGCATCCTCCAAGTGTGGAGTGTCGCAGCTGACGTTTCAACATGGCTTGCCAGTTTTCTCGCTATTATCTTTTCTAATGATTTGCCTAATGTGCTCTGCATCGTAATGATTCTATAGCCATTTATTGTGGGGTGATAAACTGTGGACATTCTTAATAATTATTGATTTTAAATTTACTAAAGATATTTTTGTACAAAGCAACATATGAGATGTTTTGGACTGGACCTGGTGCCAACTGAAAGTGAGAGAGCCACGTTGAATAAAACACTATTCCGTGCTGAATAAAACACTATTCCGTGCTGAATAAAACACTTTTATGTGCTGAATAAAACACTATTCTGTGGTGAATAATAAAACACTATTCCTTGCTGAATAAAACACTATTACGTGCTGAATAAAACACTTTTCTGTGATGAATATAAAAAAACACTATTCCGTGCTGAATGAAACACTATTCCATGCTGAATAAAACACTATTCCCTGCTGAATAAAACGTCTTCTTCTGAGATTCCATGCCTTGTGATGTTGGTAGTGGTTTAATCCACAGCCCTTTGTCTCCTGTACTTTTAGTCAACTCTGATACGGATAATTCTCCAGGCCATGATGTTAAACTGTCTGGCACGTTTTCTCTCGGTCTCACTCCGCCCTTCTCACCCCTCCAACTTTCCGACTATTACGATGCATTACAGTTTTCTCCTTCTCATCACATGACCAAAGAATGTGGATTGTCTCTTTCTGGTGAAGGCAAAAAGTTCTCTCCATGAGCCAGTTTCCTTCAAGACATCTTCATTACTCTTTTGTTTTTTAAAATCCGTCCTGTGTATTCTCATCACACGTCCTTAAAAACCACATCTCCGTATCTTCTCTTTAGTTAACACTATTGTACTTGAGTAGTGCGAAGTTGTCGAACACTACTTTACTCAATACATTATACTTAATGTAAAGTGATGCCGTTAGCATTAAAATGCTACTTAATTTTACTAAACACTCCTTCACTTTACACACTACACATTATATTTTCTTTAACAGGGTAACAGGCCGCCACCAGGAAGTCCCTGGCCAATGCCGAAAGTCTGGCACCACGAATCATATGTCTTAATCTTCACTCCGTCGAATTTAACTTTCAACTCTGACCTTAATGATTGTGACCTGATAGAGGCAGCCTACAAACGGCTTCTGCTACAGTTGGAGACTGCAGCTCATTACATTAAAGTCCGGAGAGGTGAGGGTGGGAAGTCCGTTCCACACAAGAACGGCAGCGTACACAGTACAGCAGACAACAGTGGTTATGTCCCGCTGCGAGAGATCCAAGTCAAGGTTGAGGACAAATCGTGCCCTGATTATCCCCAGTTTGGTGTCCATGAAAACTGTATGTTGATGTGACTGATATAGTACAGTTACTTCTGTTATTTCTACAGCTCTCTCAGAGTGTTGTCTTTACATCTTTAACAGACACTATGCACGTTGTCACCTACTTCTTTAAGACGATTCCTTCTATGTTCCCTGTTCTTTTCTTTGTAGTACTTTCGTCTAAGCTTTTAAGTTATTGTTTCTTTCATTTAACCTAATTCTGTGTTGTTTCCCGTGGGTTTTAGTATATGAAAACGAGCATACAAGATCTGACAATTAAGTAATGTTACTGATGTTATTATAGCCAAGACAAAAATGCCACCTATGAAGCCATAGGGGCAACCTTTATCTATGATCTGACAACTTTTCACCCCCTCCCGGCAAACTGACAACAAACAAGCCGCAATTTTGTTGACCTAGTCAGAGGTGCATTGCTACCTAATCAGCATGGAGCAAAAAGCTAACATTAAATTTTGTTTAAAACCCAGAAAATGATCGATTGAGGCAGTTAAATTGATGCGACAAGTTTATGGGGATAATTTTTGATCTAGTGCACAGATTTAACCTAATATAATTTAACAGTTGAATGGGGTTTCCAGGACCTCTCCACGGGTGATCCTCATCCGCAGGTGTGTCACACGGTGTTTATCGCTCTGTGTGATGTCCTGGTGGGGTACAACCTATCTACTTACCTTATTAGTCGGCGTCTGTGGCTTCGAAATTGCGAAAGCGCTTCTTAATGCCGGCAAACTGGGTTCAATCCCAACTGCGGGTCTTGCGATTTGCGTTGGTTTCGACAATTACATCGAGAAGCCGACCATCGAGAAAGAAAAGGCAAACTACGTGATGTAAATTTGCCCAGAAAAACCACAACAACCAATCCTGGGGTTTTTTGTGCAACTTCATGTAAAGGATATTCAACTAACAAACTACCTTAATGGTCATGCTGGAACACGAGGGATAAGTGACAGCCTCATCACGCCGGCCGCCTTTACTTCCCTGTATTTTACCCAAAACCCATTTAAGGCTGTGTCGACCTGGGAGCCAAGGCTGTGTTTTTCAGGAAATAATACATAATAAATATGTTTATTCATTGTGTTTTGTCTTTCATGTCGGCACGCGACTACTTTCCAACTCAAGATACTCTGGATGTTGCTGGCAAGGTGTCACTGACGGCTTCCACTGCATGGGCTGTCATATGGGGTAGGTTTCACATTTTTACATCATGCAAGAGATATGTAGTCCAGGTAACAGAAGTATACAAACGTTCATAACTTAGGTTAGGGCTCAGACCTTTTTAGGAAACCCCCCCCCCCTTCTCCCCCTTTTCCAACATTGTGGGAGGAGGGGGGGGGGGCACAAACCACATCTTCCTCATCACCTTACATATTTTACAGAAGAATTTTTTCATTTTATATTTTTTTTTTCTTAGAATGTTTTAGCATTTTTAGGGACAGACACAGATGTATCTTTCGTTCAGCACGTGAGAAGCTTGTAGACATTTACGGCTGGGTTGAAGAGAAAACGGCAGGAAACCTCTGGTGCATTTGTCTTTAGTACAAATATTCTGACTGTAGAGGTCATGGCAGTAACTAAAGCAATAACCTAACTGGAGACATGGATCTTCGCCTGGGCATGCTTGCTCAGTCATGGAATGAGTGTGCTCATGAAGACGAGTGGCGTGCGCTTATTGACAGTTATTGTAGTCTCTTTTCCATGCTCAGTCTACGAAGGCTCAAGTGGCTGGGTCACACCTGGAGAATGGAGGATGGAAGAGTCCCTAAGGACATTCTTTATGGTGAATTAAAGACAGGAAGAAGGTGTCGAGGCCGACCTCTATAACGATATAAAGATGTGTGCAAGCCGGACATGAATGATACAGGTATTGAGGCGGACTCATGGGAACAAAATGCAATGGACCGTGTTGTGTGGAAAGGGCATATCGGGAAGGGAGTGAGACTGAATGAAAGAAATGATTGCAGAAAGGATGAGAGCTGAGCGTCTAAAACGAAACGGATTAAACACAAATGTTGACAACAATGGTCCTGAAATCCCATGCTATCAACTTAGAAGACTTTTCTTGAGACAGGCGGGTCTTGCTAGTCATACTCGCATCGGCCATGGGGTGTGAGTCTCATGCCGCCTCATAGCGCAAAATAACACTATCGTCTGGAAAGACGGAAAGGTGCCAATGATGAATGATGAATGATGATGTAGTCTCTTAGACTGTCACAGTTGACTAAGATCAGTTCATTTTCATGCCAGGATATGCAGATGTAAAAGGAAATTAACCAGCTGACAGGCTTGCAGGAAAAGCTAAAGTGGAGTGTAGAAAAACAATGGACTGGGCCAGTGGTTTTTAACATGGGGAGGACGTGATAGTTTCAGGGGTCCGTCACGATTTGACACCGAGTGCATTTATACTTGTAATAATCTTCTGTTACAATAACATCTTTTGTATCTTTTTGTGCTTTGTCCGACATCAGATCAAAATAGCAGATATGATCCAGAAAAAATAGAGTTAATCATCACTTTAATAAGAACACTAAATTCCCATCTCTTGATGACTATTTCTTTTATGTTTTTTGACACTTTGATTTTTGTGGATGTTTTGATACAACTCCTTGTTAATATTGTTTGGCAATTTTCGTTTTGTCCTTTTTTTAATCACTTTTTTTTAAGTGGGGGAGGGGGGATTTGAGGTGCTGGGGTATATATTCAAGGAGGTGCCACCGGAAACGGATTGAAAAACCGCTGGACAAGGCTGATATAAATGCTCGAGGAAAAGTCAGATATTTTCGAGAACCAAGTTATCACTGAGACCATAATCAGGCTACAAACAACAGCAAGCAAAAATGAGGTTGGACACGAACACTACAGAGAAAGCCAAAGAAGAAGAATAAATCAATACAGAACTGAGGTGGAAAGCTGCTACATGCTATAAAATTGACTGACGAGGGGATCCAATGGCTTATGGATTGAATAGTTTGATGCGCAGTGACAATCATCTATCGACTATCTTAGTTTCTTGGCATAAAGGAGCTATGGCAGCGCTTTCATGCAGCATCAGTGGTCTTGTGTTTGAATCCTCTTCAAGGACAGGGATTTGAAAAAAAAATGACCCTAGATACCAGATAGTAAACGTTAAAAACTACTTTTCACAACACGGTATCCCAATTGTCTTAGACCTGTAGCCATCGTATGAGTGATGTGAAATATTTCTGCAGTTACTGGATACTACCTGTTGAAAGTTTGATTATTATGTTGCACAAACAACCCTTTATTGTGCTAAGTGAATAAACTACATAAAGCCAGTCCGTTTGTATGGAATCCAGTCATCCACAGTCAGTAAGTTAGCCAGAAATTATTTTTTTTTAAATGTACAAATGTAGCCTTTTTGAAAAATTGATGAAAATGCCAAGGGAACCAAATAATAAGGTTGTCTTGAGAGGAATTAACTTAAACAGATAAGTGATCACCTTCATCAGAGGAGAGACCTTTATGCTCTTTATGAGAAAGAGATAAGTGGTGTACATTATGGCAAAGGTAGAGAGGAAGAGAGCCAGAGAACAACCAAGATAAAGTATGCTGGACAGTTTGGGTTCATGGTCAGAATGAGCGCAGGCATCAGTGGTCTAGTGGTAGAAAACTCGGGGTTCGATTTCCGGTCGATGCAACTATTGAGGCGTACGTGGTTTAGACTTTGCGAGTCCGACTCGTAATTACAACGTACCGCGATCGAAACTCACTGCCGGCTGCGTGGATTTGTATCGGGGTAGAGGGCGTCGCAGGTCGACCCAGCCTAAATTGGGTACCAGGATGGCTGTCCTGTGAAAGTAAAGACGGTCGGCGTGATGCTGACCACAATTACCCATCTAGTGCCGAATTGTCTGTAAAAATATGGGTGCTCTTCCCATATACCCGATGCGCCTGAAGGCGTGAAAAGAGATCTTTACTTTACTTATCAGAATGAATATCGCTATCAGAAATGACTGGCAGTACACTAGGCTGTGGACAGATATGACTGTCAACCCTTCGCTGTGTAGACTACCAGAATTGTCATAGAAATATATTTTCTAACATTTATAAACTCTTACAATACTCTCAGCACGTCAGTACAATGGTAATTATCTGTTTACTTCTAGGTTTTCAAACCCTGGGTCAGCTGATGTATATGGTTGAGAACAAGGTAGAATTGACATAGTTTCTGTCGTATTTTACTGAATACTATTGTCATCTTATCAACCACAGCAAGTGAATGTTTGTATGATCATTACAGTTAGTATTTTAATTGCATAGAAATTGTTTTTTTTTTTTTCGGTAAATTGTAGTCACAGGGCTTCATTTAATCTTCAGATCCTATAGCCTGGCTGCAAGTAACTGACCGCCCAATTCGTCGTTGGGGAATACCAGGAGTAGTCAGGAGAGAGGGGCTGACCGTTGATCTGACAGTCAAACTGTTTATTTCTCATCATTAATGTAACCAAAATCAAACATGGTGTGTTATCCTTGCTGCAGGTTAATTGAAGAACAGTCAAATGAATGTGAATCTTGCTAATCCATCTGGTCTCAGACAAGTATCCACAATATGGGTTATGTCAAATATTATTAAGGTTATTGGATACTGCCTACATACAAATCTTGCTACTTCATCTGTAGAATTAAGGTGTAGTTCAGTATTTTTTTTTTAATGCTGAGATAGGGAGAGATTCTCAAATATATTCTACAGACAATTACATTATTGCTCACAAGTCATTAAAAAACATACTCGTTAGAACATTTTTTTTTTAAAGTGTATATTAATACTAGGAGAATTAGTAACACAGAGATTTAGGGTTACATGAATAGAATCGCTTTATGTAATGTGCAATTTAACGAGTGATGTATTACTAAGTAACAACGTTGAAGACCGAAGATGAATCATGACGTTATAATAACTAAAATTAATTTGCTTTTCCCTATTAAAACAATTCTTAAATTATATTTCTAGCATATGTAATCATATCCGACACGTCTAAA